ACGTTTTAGCCCAGCCCTCAATGTTTCCATTCGTCCTCAGGGCGAAAGGGCAGCTGCACCCCCTGGGGGTTCTGCTCACCCCTCAAAAGATCCACCACAAAGTCCATCAAGACACGAGGCCGACTCAGCCGTGACCTGCTCTGCCCACAGCCAGGTGTCCCACCATATCCAGCTCTGCCTTCCACCAGGGAAGCACCGCCCCTTAACTCCCACAGGCTCCTCCCCCTCCGGCGCTGCATTTGAGATCAGCCAGCAAATTCATTTTTCACACGTGGCCACCGACAGAAGTCGTATTTCTCCCTCCCTCCCTCCCTCCCTCCACACACATCATGCAAATCCGTCGTGTTGCAAGGGAAGGCGGGAGTGGCTGAGCTTGGTTTGGATTGCGAGTTTTGCTTTCGGTGCATGGTGGCACCGGAGAGACACGCCTGGTGTCCTCAGGAAACATGAGCAGGAAACACGCCATCATGCAGAGCTCCTGGGAATCACCGAGCACAGAACGAGGAGCACCTTGGTACACCCACAGCTGCTCCAGGTGGCAAACCAGCGCCACTGCAACGCTGGAGACGTGTTTCGGCGTGTGCAGGGCCAGGACGTGGGTGGCAGGGAACAAGACGAAGGCGAGGGAGGGTGCAAAGTCCCACAGCAAGGTTTAAAGGCGAGTCCGGGTCATAGTCAGAGGGCAGGCCATGTCAGGAAGCAGAACACAGATCAGGGCAGGACGAGGGCAAAGTCACGGAGGAGCCAAGGGTAGGAAACCAGGAAGACAAACCTTGCACCAGGATCACTGGGCAGGATACACAGCGAGGACCGGGAAAGGTGCAGGTGCTGAGCTACGCCACTGCTGGCAGGAAGCCCAAGTTGCTGAATGAGACACCAAGGCAGGACCCAAGTCGGGCGAGCAGCGAGATGCATCTTCCTGAGGCCAGAGCTTGCTCTAATCTAGCTCTTTCCCAGGGCTCCAGCTGGAGCTCCCCAGGTGGCTGAGCCTTCCAGCAGGGCCTGGGACTGATTCTGTGGATGCCAAGGTGGGCTTCTGGTTTAGAGGTGGAGCCCCAGCGCAGCTCAGATCCTGACACAGCAGTGATACCCAGCCTGGTCCCACCAACTGAAGCTCGGTGATGAAAGACACCCGAAGGGGCTCCTGCGAGGAGCTTGGCGGGGGGGGCCCTCATCACTAGCTTTGCCAATTTCCAGTTTCCAATTTGCCGATTTCCTATTTCCAGTCCGTGCATCCTGCTCCGTTACGTAACACGGTCCTGTGATTTATTGCTCCCTGTTGAAACACCGGCGGCAGACACAACACGGTGGTGTCAGTCATGGCTTACGTGCGCTTCCAGTGTAGCGGCCCCGCTGACTCCCAGCAGGGCCTGGAAGAGCAGGTTTGGCACATGCCAATGACGAGCCATGTAGCCGGATCCTCAGAGTGGGGCGCGTGGGGGTGAGTCATTAAAAGTGGGTTTACACGAGGAGTCGGGCAGACCCGAACGTCACTGCCCTTGCTTGCAATCGGCATCACGTGAGCTGTGGCCAAGACACCTTTACCCAACTCAAATAGAGAGAAACATAGAAACAGCGAGTCAGAAGGGGCCTCCCGGGCCATCTAGTCTCACCCCCAGCTCCAGCCAGCTCCGCTCACGACATGCCCACCCTGTGCATGTCCAGCCTATCCTTGAACACCCTCACTGAGGGGGCCTCAACCATCTCCCATGGAACCCCTTTCCACATCCTCGGGGTCCACTGTCCTGAAGTGCTTCCTGGCATCCAAACTGAACCCTGGTTCCCTGAGCTCTGCTCCCTTGGAGCGCGTCCTTCTTCCTCTGCAGGGGAGAGCAGGTCTCTCCCCACCTCCGTGTGACATCCCCTCACATGCCTGTATGTCGCCAACAGGTCCCCTCTGAGTCTCCTCTTCTCCAGGCTGAAGAGACCCAGTTCCCTCAATCTCGCCTCATACCCCATCCCCTGCAAACCGGCCACCAACCTCATGGACCTACGCTGCACTGACTCCAACCTGGCTATATCCTTCCTGTAATGAGTGGCCCAGAACTGAGCACAAGACTCCAATTGTGGGTGCACCAGCGTCGTATAGAGTGGCAGTAATACCTCTCTCGATCTAGAAGCCACACTTCTGCCTATGGATGGAGGAACGGGACTCGTTCCAGATTATGGCCTCGTTCCTTTGCTTGAGTCATTAAACAACCCTTACAAGCCCCTGGCAGGCTTCAGGGGCCCTCAGCTGGGAGATCTGGCAATATTTTACAGTTGCCATAAGGGGCCAGGTCTTTCTCTGCTGCAGCAGGAATTCAGTGACTAACCTCCCATTTCGCCAGGGGCCTGCCGGCACTCAGAACGGTTGCGGCAAGAACTAGATGGGCGCAGCACCCACCACAAGAAAAGGCAGCAAACCTCAGCAGAAGAGGGCGAGGGGCAAAAACATACCTTGAAAAACGGCGTCCTGTGTGCCTTTTCCAATTGCATGGATACTTGCCAAATTTTAGTGGCAGGTGACAGGTACTCTGTTTCCAGCACACCACTGAGTAGAGGTAGCCAGGGAGAGGGACTTGGGGTGGACAGGAGGCAGCTCTTGGCTCCCTCTTGAATTTGCTTTGGGCTAAAAGATGCAAGGTTTTCCCGATGAAGGGCAAAGTGATAAAACTGAGACCTTATGCACGGTTTGGACTCACACTCCATCTGTTGAGCATCATTCGACGGCAGTCCAGAAGTGTTCTCTTCCTACAACACTCTTCCTTACTCCTGTGGGATGAGCATGAGAAAAAATATATAGGTTCCCCCTTCCATATGGACCCACATTGTTTCAGGATACCCTCCTCAGTATGGTCCAAATTACCTCCTTGGGATGAGCCTTTCCTTCAGCTTTGAAAAGGGGCACCTCTTCTGCCGTTTGCGTTCCCATCTAGAGGAGAATATTGTCAGTGGAACACACCAAACTTATCTTGCTTTGGTGTTTGTTTATCTCCAAGGCACTGATCACCGGTGGACCAAAATAGAGAAGACGGTAACCTGTGATCAGCCGTGACTTTTTCCTTCCAGTTTTCTGCACAATCAGGAAAACCTGCAATTAACCAGGAGCAGAGAGAAAAGACAGGCTAGCTATTTATTGTAATGAAATCATACTGCTGGAGAAAATTCAAGCCCACAGTCCAAAGAAGAATTTGGAGCCAATCCAAATGCTTATGTTCCAGCAACTTTTTACAATGAAAGAAATACCTTTTCTTCAGGTTATAAGATGCTATTTATTGTCAGAGAGCTATGAAAAATAGAAATGCAGACATTTATAGAGTAATAGAGGTGATATAGCTTAATAAAGTACGGTGTTAAACTTGGAAGCAACAATATAGTGAGAGCAGGGAAAATAAACTGTTGGATCTGGAATTGGGCTCCATCGAGAGGAAGGACTCTAATCGTGAAAGGGCCTTCTTTCTGATTTTGGAGGGGGGTCCCCATGTCCCCAAATGAACACACCACAGCTCACCTCATGCAGAAGATTCCTGGTTTTGTGTCTAGAACTTTTGGGGTGCTGTAGAAGCTGCTGTGGGAAAGTGGGTTGCGGGGAACTCACTTCTAACAGCAGAATTCAACCAGCTTCAGTCTGGATCTAAGTCATGTTCGCCTTTCTGGGAAAACAGTTGGAACAAATAAGATTTTCGGTGGGTGCCAAATCTCAGGAAAGTTCAGCACCTGTCTAATTTCTACAAATAGGAATTCTGAGTAAACTTTCACCCCTTGGAAAGAGCAGTTTTTCAAGGGCCCTGGAACGGCCTGTCTAAATTTCTGGAGCTGCTCCGCATGAAAGAAATTGACAAATGCTTCCAGAGATGACCCCTTGGGACTGGTTTTGTGGTCCTGTGGGAATGCATTTTCCCCTGCCCCAGCCAACCTTGCAAATGTGTTAGAATGATAAAAGAGGCTTTCAAATATCATTTTCTACAGACTTGAAGGTTATCCTATGCAGGGTGGGAGAAATCAACTACTCCTTCTATGCTGCAGGTGGGGAGGGAAGTCCATGGCTCCCCACTCCCCCCCACCCCCAATTAATCATTCATTGTGAATTTTCAAAATCAAACCAAAACCAAGAATGGAACTGGATAAATTCCGATCAACAGTGAACCAAATCACATTTTGCATACAGTCCTTCTTCCAATGCATTCCTCACCAGTTTAAATATAATGTAAAAACTTGTATTTTGTGGATTTATACAGGGTATATGTATCCGATGCCATGTGACTTTGATGCATGGAAACCTCCAAACATGGCGGCATGTCTGGCCATCTTATCTAGATGGCTGACAATGGCTACCCCAAGACCCAGTTGGCAGGGTGATACGGATGGGTGCCCACCTGGGAGCCCCCCTTCCCCAAAGCACAGGCTCTCGGCACTGGACTCCAAATATTCCTATGCCCCCCCAGGCAGTGTCAGGAGGCCCGAGAAAGGCACCCCTGGAAATTGCATTTTGAGAGAGACTGAGTTTACAAAGGCATAATTATAGGCTAATTTTCATGTTACACCATTTTTAAAAAAATAACAGATTCATGCAGAAATGGTGGGATGGACACATTTGGGAAGCAACATATGTGGGAATGATGAAGACTGGATAAAAGCTGAATTGCCCATTTCTAAACCAGCATGGTTGCTCCATCCAGATTTTCACTGTGCGACGGACAGTGTGTTAAGTTTAAAAATAAGGAGTGACCTTCACTAGTAAACAACAGGGGGGGCATGAACGTCCCATCTACATCCCCCTGGTGGGGCTAACAAAAATATCTTGATGTTTTCAGTCCCGCTTCTTACATAATTACGGTCCCCTGCTCTGGTTTGTTTTGGTCCTTCAGTGTAATTATTATGATGAATCATGGCTGAGGGGTGAAGACATCCTACAGAACGGTCTGGTTGGGTTTGATTATATAAGCTGAGCCCCAGAGAAATGGAACAAAGCTCTTCTTCAGACCAAGACCCCTCTGAGAACAGCGAGTGCCGTTGCAATGATGAAGGCTGCAATCTTCGTACTGGCTTTGGCTTGCGGTAAATAAATCCTTTTGTTAGAATTCGTTTTAGGGCAGGTCCCAAAGTGCTCCTCAGGTAATATTTTTGTTCAAAAGTGGGTGCTCTGGGGTGGGACAGTTTCTCTGTTTCTTTTTTGGAGCTTTCCTTCATCTGTTTTGTGGTCCTGGTGTTGGTGGTGTTGGTGGTAGTAGTAGCAGTTTCATTCCTAGTTCACGGCAGGCACACGGCTGCAGAATGCAGGTAATTTGTCCTCACTCTGACTTGGCTTCATGGGGGTGGGCATTTTGGGAAGGAAAAACAGAGCAACAGACACTCAGAGGGGTGCTGCTTCTGGACTTAAATGCTCTTTCAGTTGCCAGGGCTCAACTAGCCCATGCATTGGCCAAATCCTAATATGTGGGAATTGGCTTTCAAGCCAATACTTCCTTCCTTTGGCTTCCATCTGGCCTGAGGGTAGGTCACTGGGGAAGCAGACTGTCAAATGCATTCCAGCCATGCTTCACAGATCACTAGACGCCATTTTCGCTGTGGTCTGCCTAGTGATGTAATCAGATTTTGCAACAATGCATTCACGCACACACTTGTGGTTATTCAACCCCCAGAAGTATAAATTACTCCCCACATATACAAATCCCTGATAAAATGAGTCTTTTCAAGTTTTAGTCTATTCAGGGAAATATACCGTTTTGGCTTTTAAAATGTTTTTCCTGTATTTTTGTATGACTAAATTTGTATACAAGTAGAGAAAGTTTTTAAAAATCTGCACATCTGAGGAATTCACACGACACAAGAAAAGCGAGTCTTCTGCAGAATGGGCAGGGCAGATTCTTGGTACCCTGAACTCGCAGAAGCCCATTCTGAATTTCTCTGACATCCAGGAGCTGTTGCCATGTGGGGAACCCCAGAATTTCGCAGTAGGACCCCCCGGGAGAGGGTTTAGGGTCTGCGGACAAGATTCTGCAGACTTGCCATAATCCCAAACCCTTCTCTGCTCCTTCCTCCCCCTCCCTCAGAATGGAGCGCCGCTCATCCGGGTTCGCCTGCCGGGACTGGCACCTCCTCTCAATTTAATGAGATAATCCAGCTCAGCACAGTGACCTTCAGCTTAGCCAACTTCACCAACTACGGATGCCACTGTGGACCCGGGACCCAAGGTATCCCTGTGGATGCTATTGACAGGTAAATCTTACCTGCATGCCTCATCTCCTCCCGAGGGCAGCGGCCTTCTCTTTGAACACGGAGACCTGGGGTTATTCACTCGGCCCTGTCCCGTGTTTCTGAAGATGCCAAGCCAGCTCCCAGAGGATGGTCTGAAGGCACGTAAAGCATCCACCGTGTTGAAGCTAAGCAGGGCTGTGGCTGGCCTGAGTCTGGAGGGGAGGCCTCCTGGGAGCCACCTGTAGCTGCCTTGAGTTCCACCATGGGAGAAAGGGGATATAAACAAACGTATATTTATTGATAAGTAATAAAGCCTACAATGAGTGAGAGAGAAGCCTACTTCTTACAACCCACATGTTCTTCCTCGTCATGGCTCCTACTTATTATGCTTATATGCTGCCTTTTTCTTTTTTTAAGAACTCAAAGTAGCTTACAGCACTCTCCTCCTCGTGCTCTCAGTCTTATCCCCACCACAACAACCCTGTGAGGCAGGTCAGGCTGAGAGTCTGAGACTGGCCCAAAGTCACCCTGGCTGAGCTGAGTGGGGACTCGAACCCAGGTCGTCTGAGTCCCAGTCCCATGCTCTTCACCACCACGCCACTCTGGCTCTCTTGCTGGACTGGCAGAGTCAGGGAGCAAGGCAGTCATGGTGTGTCCTGCCCTTCCTTCTCCCCACCACAGTCTGGGCCAGAATGAGAGGCAGGTGTAGTGGAGGAGCAAGCCCAGCAGGTTCTTCTCAGTGGGTCCCTCCTGGGGCTCTTGGCAGCTGCCCAAACATACCTACCCCTGACCGTGACCCTGGTGATGAGTGCCAGGCCTGGATGGTACCAGTTTTCCTCTCTCTGAAACCCCCTTTCGTCCTCAGGTGTTGTCACAGCCATGACTGCTGCTACAACAAGGCAGAGATGTTCGGCTGCACCCCGCGCCTGCACACATACCGGTTCTATGCCCAGAGGGACAAAATTAAATGTGGTGAGTACAGCGAACGTTCCACCGGAGGGCTGAACGAAACCAGACATGCTGGCAGAGAATAATCCCATTTAGCCAAAGTGGGGGTCCGTCTAGAAAGCATACCCCAAGTCTTGCTACCCCATGGCACCCCTTTTGGCAGGAAGCTGTGTGGAAATACTTCCCCGTGTCCGCCCCCGCACATACCATGGAAATGACAATCCCTCATTTCTCCACAGTCAAGTCACGGGACCGCTGTGAGAAGATGGTGTGTGAATGTGACCAAAAAGCCGCCAGTTGCTTCCGCAAGAATCTTTTCTCCTACAACCCTCAATTCAAGAATCACCCGGGAATCAACTGCCGGGCACCACGGCCCTTCTGCTAAGCCTCCACAAACTGGAGCCTCTCTCTCCACGGTACCTCTGTTGACCTCAGCTTCAGTTTAGCCACTAAACGTCTCTGCTGAGAATTTGCTTCTGGGGTGTCATACAGCTCTTAAATACATAAATAAATAAATAAATAAATAAATAAATGCATCGCATCAGCGTCCGGCGAGTCTCTTCTCACTCCCAAATTTGCTCTGTATGAAACTGGGCTTTTGTGCCAAACCTGGATCCCCAGAGGAGCTTAGAGCGGGGCTCCAAAGGACGCATGTTCCTCCAGATAGGTAGTCTGCCTCCATCTATTGTTCCTGTGCTGGAAGGAAAGGCATGTCACATATAACTGGATTCAACCAAGAATTAAAACGAAGGTGCAAGAGAGCAGCATCCACTTGCAAGAGTGCGGTTGCATCAGCGAGCTTGAGAGACACTTGTGGAAATACCAACAACAACAACAACAACATTTTTAGAAAAACGTCCAGCAGACATTCAGAATTCCTTGGCTAATCAGCAAGGAAAGTCCACCTTGGACTGTTTGATTCTGCAGGATTGTGTTTTGGCTTCTTGGGGTACATTTCTGGGGCTTCCAGACATTGCCTAGGAAGCCGTACGGGTTTTTGGAGTCCCAGCTCCGAGGTCCTAGGAACTCCAGGCTGAACTCCCACCATCCCGCTTACAACTGGTATGGTAATCACGCCAGCTTTCCCCCCACCCCCAGCAAGGTTGCAGCTGGAGATGGGGAGGAAACAAGGGCTGCACCAAGGGGAGGAAAGACCAGGCTGCTGGAGTCACAGAATAAAGCCAGTTCCATTCCCCTGCCCCCTCCCCTTCTGTCCCCAGCACTAAATCTACATGACCAGAAATGCAGGGACAAGACGCTCAGCCGCTCTCAGATTGGGGGCTTCATAATCCATTGAGTTCAGGGGCAAATGCGCATCTGTTTTGAAGCTGATAAGGCCGGACTAAGACTCTCTGCCTGCTGCACTTGTGAATCCGTCCCTTTTGTTTCTCACCCCCCCCCCCCCCCCCCCGCTTTGGCTATCTCCCCACCCGTCCGCAGCACCCAGGTTTGTCCTTCGGGATATTCGAAGGCTGCACGAAAGAAGCAGAAGAGGCAAACCGCCCCTTTTCTTTGGTCTGTGAAATAGCTGAAGCAGCAACATGGCAGCTCCGTTTGCCAACGCGTGTTTATGCTTAGCCCTCTTTTTAAACTTTTGCAACGATCATTTCTAGTTTGTGTTTAGAGGTCGTGGTTCATGGCACCCGATGCAAGATAAACAAGGCAGCCTGGAGGGGGTGGAATTATGTCTAAATAAATGTTATCTAACTCTCTCTCACACACAGGCTCAAACTCACCTTTTTCAGGAACCACAAAAAACAAAATCCTATTTGGCAGCTGATCTCAAAGCCATAAACATGTACCCAATAAAATTTGCCATATAAAATGTTGTATGACATAATTTTCTCACCTGGATAAAAGACCAGAAATCCAACAAGGAAGCAGTATCAAACATGTGGGAAGAGAACTTCCCCAGCTTTATTTATATTTCTGCAAATAACTTTTCCCCACCAAGGCCTCCCCTGCCACATTCATCCCCCCACTACAAAACATTAAAAAAAATTAAATTTCTTTTACCCCGAGATATATTACATTTCAGCATATAAACAAGGATTTCTATACATGAGAGGCGGTTTGAAGGGGACCAAGCCTGTACCAGTACAGACTATCCTGGAATTCCATTTTATAACTTTTCAACCCAAGTACAAGGCTTTAAAAAATAAAAAATAACCACCAAGCCAAAACAGAAAACAGAACAAAGCTGGGCTGGAAGGAAAGGGTAGAGAGATGAATTTTAGACTTTATGATAGGTGAAATCAAAGAATGATGAGCAGATGTAACCAACATAATTAAATACCTTAGATGGAGAAAGGGGGTCGTACTGGAAGGGTTTGATTATGGATTGAGAGGGATGAATTCTCTGAAACTCTCTCTGAATTCCACCTCAAACCTAGATCTCTTCTGATCTAGGTTTGAGAACTGGGCAACTCCTTCTCCAGAATGAACTGAAAGAAATTTCTCACACATTCCTGACACGACAGTCCTCTCCCAGCATTTCAAAGAGCAGCCAAGCTTCTTCAAAAGAAGACTCATGGCCGCCGTACAACCTTCAGGCCAGGGGCAGCTTTGCTCGCTGTTTTCCCGCCAACCGGCCAGACAAAAGAAGGGAAACAAAAGAAGCCAACCAGAAATGATGGGTGCCCTCTGCGAATGTCTGCAGCAGGCAAAGATGGTGGTGACGTTGTGAGAACGGCAAGCCCGATCTTTTACGGATGCTCTCCGTGGCTTGGCATGAGGGACCGTGATTTTCTAGAGCCTCTGATCTTAGAAAGAAGATCTCCACAATCACATAGAACTTGGGGACTGAGGAATCTTCCCCTTTCGACTTGCATCAGTGGTCACCCCCCCCCCACACACACTTAATCTCAGATTAATGACATCCAAATGACTTAAGGCGCCAGTCCTCAAGCATTTGGAGGAAGGCAGCCTCCCTCAGGTCTGGGGTGTGCTTGAAGGGAGCCCTGGGCAGATGATAGTCCTGGGTGCAGGGAAACCCAAGACTGTGCCAGTTCCCAGGCCACAGAAGCCAGGGGGTTGGAGCAACGGGAGATCACACGGTTCCCAGTCTTCTGTACAATCCATGCCAGCTGAGGAGGAGGCTGGGCAGTGGCAGCAACACGTTTCTTCACAACGGTGCCAGAGCTCGGATATGTGCCCATGCATCTTTCCCCAATGGGGGCACCAATGTTTTGTCATGACTCTCCTGCATAAGACTAGCTGGTGGAAAGCAAGCAAGCAAGAATGAAGGAAAGAACGGAAAGCAAAAGTGATAGTGAAAGGAAAGTGAAAGCAGGGCAAGGAGAGGAAGAAGAAAGACAGAGGGGAGAAAAGCAGACAGACAGGAAGAAGGAAGAACAGAGAACAAAGTAAGAAAACCAGCAGCCAATGGGTTCATTTTCTAGTCTACACCCGCTCTCAAGAAGCCACATTTTCTCTGCTGGCTTAGATCAAAGGTCCATGTAGCCCACCAGGGCCAACCAAGTGCCTCTTGGAAGCCCACGGGGAGGCCTGGAGGCCAGCTGTCTTCCCCTGCTGCTCTTGAGAACAGGTCTTGAGCCAGGCCTCGCAGCCCCCTTCAAAATGGCTGCTCCCCCCCTTGCATCCATTGGCACCTCTTCCTTGCATTCCTTCCTTTCTTCACATCACCAGCCATGATATGAGGGCTCCTAACTCTGACAGGAAGGTTTGCAAGGCTGTTATCCTGCTTAAATATCGGGGGGTAAGGGGAAACAGCCACCCATCCGCAGAAACTTGGGAGGGGATGGGGACCGCCGGGCCCAGTGCCAACGCTATGGTAGGGTTAGAGACAATTCTGCAGTGTTCTCCCATCTTGGAGGGCAGGGCGTTCACAGCCACCTGTCAGCTCAGTCCTGCGGGGCCCACCGTTCAGTCGTCCTGTTGAAGCTGGAAGGGTTTTCCACCGTCCAGAGAAACGGGAACGCCACCCGCCAGGGCTATCGGCAGGAGTGGCTGAAATGCAGACTGCGGCGGCTGAGTTTTTCTGGATTGTTCGACGCCATGTGGGAAAACTCTCTGAAGATGTCGAGGTAGGTGGCATCTCCTGGGGAAGAAAGAAGACACGGGTGCTGAGCTGCTCCGGCCTTCTGTCTCAGAAATAAAAGAACTGGAGATGCTCTGCAGTGATGGAGAAAAGGAGGGGGAATCTGGAAGGAGCACGGCCATAAAAGTCCTCAGGCGCTATCGCTCTCGCATCCCGTTTTCCACGTTTCTTCCCAAGCATCCCGAATTCACCGATCGTGCTCTGACCTCGAGTTGAGGAGCCTTTCACACAACGTGAGCGCCAGCATGGTGGAGTTGTTAGAAAGCTTGTCTGAGCCCGGGTCAAACCATGTGAAGCTCCCAAGGAGAGCGTGTGCTGTGGATTCCCCCACAGCTTAATCGACTTTGCAGGGTTGTTGTGAGGATAAGAAGGGAGGGGAGAGGCATGGGGGCCATCCTGAGCTACTCAAGGAAGGGCAGAGCAAAACATACTCACCATCATTCTAGCCCCCAGTGAGTTCAGCAACGACGACTGAAGTGTGCAGTCCACCGTGCAATCGCAGTGAAATGGCCTCCATGCTCTGGCTGAGGCATGCTGGGAATTGTAGTCCAACCCATCGGAAGGGTGGAGCTGTCTCAGAGCCCTTCCCTGCAATCACTGAGGCTGTGGGTGTGTGTTTGTGTCTTTTGCGGCTCTCCATCTGCAGTGATGGAGATGGGATTTCGGCACATGGTGATAGCGAGCTCAGGAACTGCCCCTTCTTGAAAGCAATTGCTCAGCTGATAACTAACAACATTTCCAAAGTCACACGCCTCCATTGCTCCTGCTGGCAGGCAGGACCCTAACTGCACCGTGAGGCAAACCAATCTTCCAACACTCCTTCTCTTCTCTTCTGCCGTTCTTCCCGAAGATGGCCAAAGTGGCTTACAGAACCCTCCCTCACTGTTTTATCCTCACAACAACCCTGCAAGGCAGGCTAGGCTGACTCCCATTGGCTCCGAGGCATTTCCCACCTTTGCTGCCCGAGCTGAGAGCGTGGCCTGAAGGCACAGAAGGCATCCACCGAGCTGAAGCTAAGCAGGTCTGCGCCCGGCCTGGGCTTGGAGGGCAGACCACTTGGGAACTGCAAGGAAACCCCTGGGATTCCATCACGGGGGGAAGGGAAGATATAAATATAATAAATAAGGTATGGCAGGAAAAGGGTGCTTTTCTCAACAGAGGTGCATTGAAAGTGAACCATGCTTGCATTCCAGACTGGCCTGACTCATTCCTGCCCCATCCCTGAGCCACTTTTTCAAATTCCCTGTGAGCAGCTGGCACGATAGACAGAAATCTCCTTAGAATGGAAACCTGGGAATATCTGGGGGAGCGCAGACGTTCCAAGATTGGGGAAGGCGTCTGACTGCCAAGGGACCTCGGCACGCCATCACAGCCAGCACAGACCTTTCCGCAACAGCCGGCCTCCGGAGATGGCAGAACGTCTTCGGAGCCAGTGGAAGGGGGGAGTTCCAGGGGGCAGGAAGGCACAGGGCCTTGCTCTCCCACAAGGGGCTCAGCATCACCTCATGGGCAAAACCTCTGGATGGCCAAACTGGCCCACCAAATGTTTGGAGTGGCAAGAAGTCATGCCGGGTCCTCCTGCCTTGCATCAGATGCCTTTCACCCTTCTCTTTGGGCAGGAAATTGGGCCATGACTTTCATAATCAGAATCATTGATGCTTTAATATGTTCTTAATACAAAACATATACATATATAAAAAAGGTAAAGGTTTCCCCTTGACGTTACGTCCAGTCACGCCTGACTCTAGGGGGCGGTGCTCATCCCTGTTCCCTGGCCGAGGGAGCCAGCGCTTGTCCGCAGACGGTCTCCGTGGTCGTGTGGCCGGCATGACTGAACACCAAAGTGCACGGAACGCTGTTACCTGCTCATCGAAGCGATACCTTTTTATCGACCTGCATTTGCATGCTTTCGAACTGCGAGGTGGGCAGGAGCTGGGATGGAGCAGCGGGAACTCACCCCGTTGTGCAGATTCGAACTGGCGACCTTTCGATCTACCAGCCCAGTGGTTTAAACCACTGCGCCACCTGCGGTCCATATATGCACATATATATTTAATGCGCTTTGTAAGCTACCCAGAGCCCTTTGGCTGTTGGGCGGTATAGAAATGAATTCAGTAATGATCACCACAGCATCAGAGGCGTGCCTGCCCTCACCGTTTGCTCTGGGGCACCTGCTGCCAGCCTCCATCGTTCCTGCACGTGCTGGAAGCTTTGCTTCTGGGTTCCCACACTGGGTTAATGCTCACCCCACAAGTCCTCTTGGCTGGAGGAAAGAGGCGGAAAGGGGAGTGAGGAGAAGGCCCACCCACGGGGAGAGAGGAGGTGTGAAAGGGCTTCTTCGGCATCAAGGAGTCCAGAGAAAGGTGGAGCCGCAGGTGTTAGTCACGCTAGGTGTGTTTGAGGCACACGCCGGGTGGAAAAGATGGGCGTGGACTGCCCCCTTCTGGTCCCGGAGTGGAATCCCCCGACTGGAGCCCATGCTGCATGATCCAGCACATGCTGAGGTCTGGTAGCCTTCCCCTGCTTGGTGCCGGGGACTCCGTCCCCCATCAGCCACAGGCAGTAGTGAGAGTTGCAGTCCCAAGGGCTACGCTCAGGCTTGGCTTAGGGGCAGCACCCACTGGCCATGCCAGCTGGGATAACGAGACACATCATCCAACACAACTGGGGATTGGGAATGGGGACTGTGTGGTTGTATAGCTGTTGGAGTGCAAGTCCCATCATTCCTCACCACTGGCAATGCTGGCTAGGGCTGAGGGGAGTTGCGATCCAGTGCCATCTGGAGGAACGCATGTTCCTCACCAGAAGCAATACCAAGTCAGATGGACCATGGAACTGACTGGGCACATGGCAATTTTGTCCTACATTTTTTGAACCAGTCCTTTATTCAGAATCATGAGGACTGGAAACTTGTTTTTGTATTATTTTTTTTTAGGAAAGGAACATAGCTTGGTGACAGAGCATAGGACAGACCCTGGAAAGCCGACAGCATCAAGGTAACACTCACCTTCCCTAACCTGGTGCCATCCTGATGTGTTGGACTGCAACTCCCAAAATCCCCAGCCAGGATGACTAGTCCTATACCTTCATCTTACCCACCACTGGAATGAAGGCCCGAGGGCTTCTCTAACAGAGAACTCAGCCCTTGGGCTGAAATTAGTTCAATTTCCCATCTTCAGCGGCTTTAAAGGGGGACCTGTCAAATCATGGAGAGATCTGTCACTTTCTGTGATAGCTAAATAAAGCCTGCAGCTTCAGCTGCAGTATACCTCAAAACAGCAGCTTCTGGGAGGTGACAGTGTGTATGCCTGTGGTGCAGAAGGGTTGTTGTTGGTTCTACTTTGCTTGGAAGCCTCAGCCAAGCTTCTGTGGAAAACCAACTGCATCTTCTCAGAGGGATCGGTGTTTCTCGCAAGTAGGTCATTGTACACAGCTGGGGTAGGGAAGGTGTGCTCCCCAGCTTTTGTTGGAGTGCAACTCCCATCAGCCTTCACCATGTCAGCAGGGGATGATGGCAGGTGCAGTTCAGCTTCTGGAAGGCCCCATGGTCTCCTGCCCTGGCCTGCAGGACCGGACCCTGAGCAGATCTTTTGGGCAGGTCCAACAGTTATGGTCCTTTTGCATAGTTGAATCTATGCATCATCCCTGGAAAAAGTTGCATGTGGCACTAATTCTGTGAACAATGATTCTCCTGCCAACCCTGGCCAAAGTAGCAACACTTTGGGATCTGAATGCACTATTCTGAGCCATCTTTTCTAAGCAGCTGCCCTCCAGATGTTTTGGGGTTCCATCAGCCCCAGCTAGCAAGGCCACAAATGCTGGACTGTGTAGTCCAAAACTCCTGGAGGACACAGCCCAGGGAAAGCTGTCCTGGATCTTTATCCCAAACTTTGAGAGTTAATACAGAGGAGGAGGGGGAAAAGGAGGCAAAGAGATCACAACATAAATAACAAGAAGCAAAGCAAGAGGAGGTAAAAAGCTTTACTCTAGATTTTTATTAACAGTATTTCAAGAAACAAGAGAAGGAAAGGGAGAAAGAGGGTGGGCAGTGAGACAGTAGAGCAGCAGGTTTTATTCTGGAGTTTTCCTCTCTGTGTTGTGGGGGTTTGGGTGGTGCCTCTGGGTCGGTGTTTTCGTTTTTTGTTAAAATCCTACAAAGTTCATCACATACAGAGAGTTTGGATCCACCGGTATTCCTCAGCAACGTAGACAAAAAGGCAGAGGAGATCGTGTTTGAGGGAGGGAGGGAGGGAGAAGAAAAGAACCAGGGTTACAAAGACTGTACTGGAAAAGCAGGTCAGAGTGACCGAGGAGTGGACCGTATGCCGGAACGTATTTACAAGAGAGGAACTTTCCTCCATCATGGCAGGAAGCTGCCTCTTAGCCCAACTCACTCACCGCTTCTCCCCCAGTTTAGCAGGGCCTGATTAAAAATTACCCCAGTGGCTAAGAGCGCCTGGCCTTGGTGTACATCCATCCAAACCATGTGCCCCAACTTTCCTGCAGGAAGACGGCGTGTTTGGAAAGCTCAAGCGAGTCTCCCTGACGGGGAAAGCTTTTGAGATGCCACAGAGAGAGGGAGAGTGCCTTCAAAAAGCAAACCAAGCGCCCACTCGCTTCCAAACTGGCACAGCCGACAAAGGATTCCGCGACAAGATTCTGCGGACTGAGCAGTGTCGATCCGACTCAGCAAAGAGGTGGGGGGGGGCGGGGAACACACCAAATACACCTTTTGCCAGTGCTGTTGGAATAGGAAGTGACAGCAATACTGTTTCTTTGAATGGGTTATGTTTTGGTTGCACATGGAGATGTAAAGGCCCACAAACAAACAAACAAAACTCAGAAGTCAGGAAAAGAGAGGTTTTCCTGCGAATGGTTCCATTTTCTTCTAAAATTTGCAACATCTAGTTGTACATCAAATTGTGGCATTTCCTTTTTTTCATCGTGGGATGAGGTTTCAGGGATGTACCCCATACCTCCTCAGGGCTGCTCAAGGACAC